ACACAAATTCGGTGCAGATGTGAAGTGTTTCTCCTAACGCGGTTGTAGCGCCTCGAAGCGGAGCGCACATTTTCAAACAACAGAGCAAATCTTGGGCTGTTTTGGTTGGTGGTGCCAAAAGAAGGAGAAAGGAAGAAAAGTATTTAAAAAAATAAACGTTTCGATAACAAAAGTTATTTTTGTTTTAAGCTATGGTATATTTTCATTCAGTGTTTCATTTAGTACATATATACGTAAATAAGTAAATAAATAAATAAATAAATAAATATGTATTTATATATAATTATTTATTTATTTATGCCTATATAAGCTGCCATTTTTCTTGTTTGATTTCGATAAACAGTAAGAGACGGTGTTCATATTATCAATAACTGGGTCCTGTGACGTTTTTGGCTTTGTAAAACTAGCACTGTATGGAAAATAATATCTTTTTGAAAAGCTTTTTTTTTTTTTTTTTTGATGTTTATTATTTTAAGTGATTTTTTGGTGCCGTCTGTTCATTCACTTTTGATTTGTTTGATATTTGAAATGGAAACGGATTAGTTAGACTTGCAAAGATTTACAATACGTTTAATGTTTTTTATTCCGGTTGGATGTTATCTATACAATTTCTGCATAACTGTTAATGTATGTAGCTTTTAAATGTTTCATAACTTTTACTGCTGGAACTGTTATCTTCTTTGTTCAAAAAGAAACTAGATTTTTCTTTATCAATGTTGCAACTGAAGGAAAAGTCCTATAAAAAGTTTTATTGGCTTGGTCCCCAGTGTCAAAAAAAAGAAGTTCGTGTTGGAACGATGTAGAAACCTGTTAATCGAAAGATATTAGTAAGTATTTCGTTTTTATATTTTATGCTAATTGCCACAGCTACGCTAATAGTCGTCTAGCTGTGAAGCGATTTCTTGTGTCTTACTGATTCCCCCTCCCCACACTCCCCGCTGCTTTGGTTTCATAATGTTTAGGGGTTCTTACCCAGACTAACAGATATATTAATTTACAGTCACATTACTTGAACTTTTTAGACCATTTGCTATCGGTGAGTTTGTTCTGTCGTTTTTTTTTTT